CCCCCCTTACAGTCATTTGCATGAAATGTTCAAATTGAATTTGGAGCTATCAATTGTGGGCATATCTTAATTCAAGCAGAATAGAACTTGTGATCCTAATACATATCATTGCCAAAGCCTGATCTAAATAAATCATTGATTATTGCAACCTCTAACTGTTCATAACCTTTATTCATATAACACATACTCATTATTTTTTAATTTTAATATTTAAGTTAATAATCATAAAAATTAAAAAAAAATCACCTATTAATTAACATAATATATTTTTAAACCTGCATTAAAAATTTACAAAGAGTGACATTTCAATAAAATTTATCTAGGACTTCGAATTATAAAATTAGCTTAAAAGTAAGAGCTAATAAAATTAAGGTAATTCACTAATAAAAGTATTGAGATTGAACTTTGACTATTCAATTCTTCTACACCCTCACCGTATATTTTTATTCAATTACTAAATATTATTGTAAGTTTAAAGATTCTTCTGAACCAAATTGATTTCCCAAATCATACTAACAAACTTCTTTTCTTAAGTTCAAAATTTATTCAACTATAATAATTTTAAATTTATCCTTAGTATTACAAATTATTAGATTATGTGATTCAACTCAAGATTTGTTTTCCAACCTAAATGAACAAAATGATATAAAATATATAAATCATAAGCAGTTAGATTACGTTCAATCTAAATACAAAAGAGGCTTATTCACTCTTGGCGCGGCATAATTAAGTCAATTACAGAACAGGATGAAAAAGAGAAATGATTGAGGTAGAATCTTATATTCTGAGTTCAAAACAATATCTTATCAGCTCGTAATCATCTCTTCTCTCTACATTCTCTTCCAAATCTATTTTTTAATCATATAGATATTGGAGAATTAATGACCTTTTCTCAAATGGATTTCTTTGCACTCACTGAAACCTATATTATGGATGAAAAAACCTATTTTTACTTGAGCAGAATAATTTCATTTGAGTAAAAATAAGACTGAAAATTAAATTGTTTTTTTTAGTTTGACTCAAGTTATTATAATTTGCTAAAGCAAAATTTATCTTACAAAATTGTTCTTTTCTGTAGGGGTGGAAAAACAATTCAATTCATTCAGTTTATGTTTGACATGCTAATGACCTATCAGATAGACGACACAATTAAATGAGTTAACTCCTTTTGTCATTGGAAGAGTTAGCAAGTTGGCGCGTTAGTCTTTTATTTTTTTTGTTTTTACAACACTTTTTTTATAGGTCATGGGTCTATTTTTGAATGCATTTTTAGGTGTGTTGCATATGTAGTTTGTTGGTGGGCAGCAATGCATATCTATGTATGTGGAAGTGTGATTTAGGGATTTGTGGTGGCTGCTCGAGTGATTGTCTGGTAAGTGTGTTATCGCATTGCATATTTGAATGCGATGACTGTGTCGTTCTTGCAAAGTAGGTGTATATATATACGTTTTTGCACTTACAATTGCTGGTGAATGCATCGTGGTTGTATGGTGTTGTAGTTGAGAAGTTGAAAAGGTGTCGTGATGGTCGTTGGTGAGACGTATATAAAAAAAGGAACTTTTATAACACTTTCAGAATTGGTATAGAAAAAAACTTTTTATAATGATTCTCGATATAGAAATTTTAATGCTTTCCTTACTCTTTTTTCTATACCTATTACGGAACCAGTATATAAAACTGTTTCGGTATAAGTGTGTTTTTGTTGCTTCTAAATGTTGTCGTTCATGCTCTTTCAGCTCGTACCACTAGTCTACTTTCGCCAAAGGAGAGAAGGTACGTGCTTCAGCTCTCAAGAAAGTGATTATAATATCACCCTAGAATATTATCTAGAGTCTCTAGAACGTAGAGGGAACGTACCTGGACTTTTGCCCTGTATTTATAGACCAATAAAAATAACATTACCTAAAAATCTGGTTAGTTACTCATAAATATCTTAACCGCTTAAAATATCTAAAATATTTTATCCAATAAATATTTTACTATACAAAATCTTTTTCTGGTATAAAAATATTTTTCTTCACCAACATGCCAAATTTTTTTTTACCACTTTTGATCTCCTAGTATGTTCCATAATTATAATCAAGTAAGAGTAATTCAGTTTTAATAAGCAACTATTTTATTCTGATTTGGATAGAATTAATTAATTGTCCTGTAACAAGGAAATTTGTTTAATACTAATTATATTAAAATTTCTTCCATTATGTTAATATTGAAACGGCTCTCATGGGTAAGACGTGCGCAACTCAGTACATTGAATAAAGCAAACAACTTTACATAGTCGCACACAATTTACATTTGATTGGAAACTATTATTTTTATTATAAAGTATAAAGGAATAATCTTTATGATCAATCCAAATTATATACAATAACCTACTCCATATTTTTATAATATCATATATGCATGCATGATTTAATAATTTGAAATTTTCTTTAGCTTCGTTTTTTCAATAAAACACTTTTCTCCTCGTGATATATATCACTATAGAAATGCATTCTACACTGGAAAAAGTTAAGCTCATCATAAAGTATACACCTGTACTTATGAAAAATTAACTTTGCATAAAAACTTATTCAAAGAGTGGTGCATTGTCAGGAATAATTATGTTGTGACACGCACTTGAAACTACTTCGGCAAAGATCGCGAAATTTGATTTATTTTGAAACTTTCATGATGTTTGGTGCAACTGCGTTGTTGTATTTTTTTTTAATGAAAAGTTTCGGTTTCTTCAACAAATGAATCGTGACATGTATGTACTTCTAGAAAATGAGGTACTAGGATTACATAGTTGTGAATGTGGTGTTCAAACTCATATATAGACCAAGCTAAAGAAACTACCTTGTTCTTTTAAACGTTAAAACCTAATGTACTTTTAAACTTTAAACTTCTTCATCTATATATGTTGACCAAAAAGTTAGACAGCAGAATGCTTTGGACGTCCAAAAATTAATGATAAATAAATCGTCAAACCAATGCTAATGAATTAGTCAAACCACTTCGTAAGATTCCTTTCTAATTAGTTTAAAGTTTCTTATTTTTATTACGAGGATATTTTCTGAGAAAAACATATATTCTTAATTCTTTTCTAATTATTTCTTGTATGCGTTATTTTCTGTCCGAAATATCCTTAATTATTTTAGTTCACAGATACAAATGTTATAAATTGTGTCTCCTTATCTCATTATAGAATTCAAGAAATTACTTTATAAATTAAATTTTCACTACTATTTATCTCTCCTTGCTTAATTATTTAATTGTAATTTTTGAAAGATATATTACAATTACAAAACTTTATGTAATTGACTACATTCTTTCTTACTAAGTGTGAATTAATTACCAATGTTATATATAATAATGAATATAGTACTGATTAGTAATTCTCATTGTAACATCCCAAAAGTTATAGTATGAAACTATATTAATAAAACATCACATAATAACAAAATAGAACAGTTATTGTAGAAAAAAATTATCTTACACTTATCCTAAAATAACCAAGAAATTTAAAACTTACAAAATCCTACACTGATACAAACCATAAGAGCAGACCGATCGATCATACAAGAGATGTATCAACCGAACGGTCATATCCTAAGAAGTTGAAGACTACTTGCTCAACACCTGCTACAGAGAACCCTCTTCGCACTCTGCTCACACCCACAGGGTGATCATTGCAAAGACGTAGAGGATCGAATGGATAACATGACAAGACAGGAAAAATAAGTGTAAGCTAATGTAATTTAATTGTGCAAACATACATACATTTCATACAAGTACAACCAATGCAAATACAGATAAGCATACAAGACTGAACAATATACTTCATGCATAAACCGAACACTTGACTTGATCATCTGGATTGTATGAATATGTAGCTTGAGACCGTTCATGCACCCGGGTGGTGTAGTAACTGGAAAACCATCAGTTGCCACCCGATGTTAGTCCGTTATAACTCACCCAAGAACCTATGGGCTAGGACCTCCTGCCATTCTCACACAATGCCTTATCCATCTCTACTTGAGAATTGGTAATCATCAGAATATCAGGATGAACTCCGTGAATTTCACTATCCATATTCATACTATAACACCACTTTGATACACTTTTCACTGATACATTTACCACTTCAATACACTTTTCACTGAGACATTCCTCCTTGGAATTCTCTTCCACATTACTTAAAACATATAACTTATTTGAATACCAATATAATTTCTCATACATAGTAGATAAATGCAAATATAATAAGCAATCAGAGTCAAACCATGAAATCAATATTTTAAAGATAAAATAACATTTCATAGATGAAGACCGAATGACAAACAACACAACCCCTGACTATGACCGAACGGAACAGATCAACATAACCTACGAACATGACCGAACGGGAAAACACTCACAACACACCAACATGACCAAATGGTCATTTAAAGAGTAAGGCTCAAACATGAGTCTAACACAGTTAAGGATCA